ATATTAAAAAAAATAAAAATGGAACATCTTTATGCCCAAAGAATAAATGCATACGGCCAAATACAGAAGAAAAAAATGTCTATATTGGACACACGAGGTTGTAAATGTCCAGGGCAGGTGGAATTGTGGGAAAGGCCATGCAAGTTAGACTGCTGGAAGCATGAACTGCTAAAATTGGGAGGAATGTTATCTAGTCAGTTCCATGTGAAAAACAAACTTGCTCTTTACTCATATTTGGGAATTGTTTAGAAATAAAAGTTATAATAGACAGCACGCATATAGAAAGCTGTTTATCCTAGATTGTTGTTATTAGTAGGGAGAAAAGTGGTGAAAACCTGAATGTCCATTAATAAGAGACTGGGTAAATAGATTATAACATATTCATATTGTACAAAAGAATAATAGTCAACTATAAAAACAATGCCTTGATTTTTATATCGATATATTGGCTTGATTTCTGAGTCCTTTTTGACACAAAAGAATATCGTGTTCTGAGGACAATGCACAGAAGTTGATCAAATATCCTCACTTCCTTTTCAAATGTCATCAATACGATTAGTCATTGTTTTCTTCATATGGAAAGGGGTGAGAAGCGACAAAAATTGTCTCCTTGACCAAACTCTATTCAGGGTCCTCTGGGCCCTTTCTCAACTAGGCCTCCATCTTGATCTGTAAAGACTTAAACAAAACATTAACATCGTGTCTAATAGCTCAGTGTCACATCCCTAGGTGACCCTTGTTTCCCTTAAAGTGCCTGCCTGAGGAAATGTCAGGCCGCCCAAAGAACTGACTGTTCCAGCAAACAGGGCCCTGTCCCCCTGTCTCCCAGCCTCCGGGGGATGCAGGAGCCTATTTCAGTCAGTGCCAGTTAGCAAATTCAGATGCATTTCACAGGCACCAACACGTCCTTCCAGCTTCCCTGACTGGGAGTCCCTGTTTGTCACCCTCCCTTCTCCACCATTCCCTCCTTAAAATGCCCAGTCACCTCTATAAAACTTGGAATGAAACTCAGCTCCGTCACCTGTCAGCAGTTATTGAGTAAAATCTCCTTTCACCACTTTAACAAACATCCGACAGTGCTTACCTTTGATAATGCAGACATAAGCTGCTTGTATCTTTTACAAAACTTGGAACTTTATGTGGGAATAATGGTTGGCTAGTTCTGTATTTTTTAAGACACTAATTATATTTAGCAAGCAATTCTCATGCTCTGATATATCTGATTTGTACTTGAATTCCAGGAGTCACTTTATGCAAACTCTAGGACACAGATCTTATCGTATTAGATGTATGGGTTAACCAAAATAGACGATAAGTTTTGGAAATCGTTCTTGATAATATCTCAGAGCTGGCTAGGTCATTAAATCATAAATAGAAATATCTTAATATAAAACAAATAGCTTAGGCATATTTATAAAATTATCTAGAAAATATTAAAGAGAATTTCTAGCACAGTGGTCGGCAAACTGCAGTTCCTGGGGGCTCTTTGGCCCCCGAGTTTTTAGTAAAGACCAGCTTAGGAGTACCCTAATTAAGTTAATAACAATGTACCTACCTATATACAATAGTTTAAGTTTAAAAAATTTGGCTCTCAAAAGAAATTCCAATAGTGTACTGTTGATATTTGGCTCTGTTGACTCATGAGTTTGCTGACCACTGTTCTAGCATGTACAGCTTTTAATTTTCTTCCTAAAACAGTTTTATTTTACATGCAATTAATCACAAAATAAAGTAGAAACCAGAAGCATTTCCAGTTTCTATAATTTACTCTGTGTGCATTTGAAAGTAGGATTTTTGAGGTAGATAGAATTTTCATTCCAAGTATTATTCTGTTCTCTCTTTCATCATCTTCTAAAACTAGTGATTTAGTAAAGCATTTTAAACCTGTGGGTTATATTCATTAGCTGCTAGAATTAAAAAAAAGAATTAGAATAAAATGGATCAAGATAGAATAATATTCATCTATTCAGGGATTAGCACTGCTAGTAGAGTGTCTAAAGCTTTTTCTTCAGTTAAATTTATGTGTGTGTGTATGTGTGCATGGGTGAATTGGTTGTTGATGTATTCTTACTGTTGCTTGAGGACAAAATAGCTTAAGAAACACTCCCAATGCAATGATTGGTCTGCTAACCAAACATGCTAGCATTTTGCAGTCTGAGCTGCCTTCATTCAGTGAATTAAATCAGTCAATATTTATGAACACTTCTTGTTTTATCCAGCCCAGTTTTGTGCTGAGGTCAGCTCACCAGGGTGCTTGTTGTCTTTGGTGTTAGACAAGAAAGGAAGGTCCCACCTATAACAAGGCGAACAGCAGGCACTGCATTCTGAGCCAGAAGGAACTACAGAGTTCTCATTATCTTTTCAAAGTTTCCTAGTGTAAGTATAGCCTCAACTAGCATTTGTAGGAGCATAATGTCAGCACAATTAAAACAAGAAGTAGTACGTATACATTCAAGGATACATACCTTGAATGTATCCCTCAGGTATCTCCTATTTGCTTCTAGGAGGAACTGTGTTGATCTAGTAAACGAAACTACAAATGTTCAATGGGTCAAGAATTCAGACCTGTCCCACTGCCCACGTCTAAGCTGCTGGACACAATGAGATAGGTTTTGAAATATATGTCCTTTCCCCGCTCTTAGCTATATAACTGTTGTCTCTTCTTAACTGCTACAGGACAAATATAATAGTACTTTTTTATTCATAAGAGCATGTGTATGTGTATGTTTTGACGCCATTGATGCAAATATGCTTGATATCAAGAGACTGGAACCACAGAGTAAAACTCTTTTTAAGAATAGAAGCTTATACCTGGCACACAGAAGGTGCTCAATAAATGTCAAATCAGTGATTGAACAGATTAAGTGCCAAGCTTGCAGTATGACTCATGAATAAATCTATTAAAAAAGAGAATGTTACTGCTATCAAAGTTGATGGTTGATGCAAACGGAAAATGCAAAAGAAATATTACCCGAGTTTGGATTTATCTGGGTAAGATTAACCATCATTAAAACCAGCAGTAAATACTGGGGAAAAAAAGAATGGGTCATTTATTTATTTTTTTTTTTTTTACTGGGTTTTGAGGCTTATTCTAACACTCTATCATTTTAATCCCTAATAAAACAAAGTAAATGAGAGAGATTGTCTGCAGCCTGTACAGGATTGGCAGCCATATATTCAGCTATGTATGTGTCCTTCATAGACTAGTTCCAAAATAATAACTCACCCTGGACCCAAAAGCCTTATGAAGGAGGCTTATTTATGAGGTACTTCTTAATCATACAAGTTTTAGAGAAAACGCTATATTCAAAAGTTTCACTTACATCACATTTCATAAACAGCATGCTTAATTTGAAGGTTGCCGGTTACAGGTATGTCCTTAGAAAGATGATATTTAGCTATATATCTCATAAGCACTCATTTTATGATAGTGAGGACAACCCATTTTTAATGACTGGGTGGGAAGACTGGTGCCAGCTCAGACATAATGGGTTCAGACTTGCTGAAGGACCCAGATTACCTTCAAGGTCAACACCTAACTCTATGGTACACAGCATGCCATGGGCCTGCCCGGGAATGTAAAGGGCTTAAAGGGAAGGACTTAGGTGAGAAAGACACTATCACTTAAGTGCTTCCTTTGGGAAGAACACTTCAGAAGTTCAGGATAAGAAAGAATCTGTAACAAGCAGAACTTCAATCAATAAAAGAAATGTGCTTAAAAGAAACTTGAAAGCAGGGGAAGCAGAGCTGTTAATAATAAGTTTATAGCCTGCAGGCCTGACACAGAGGACAGAAAATATGTAGAGAATTCCAGCCGAGAAAGAAGTGGAGTTATTCTACATTTCTTTACCTTATAAAGATTAGTCTATAATTTTCCTGAGTCTCACTTACATTACTTTTCAAAGTAATAAGCTCACAGAACCTAAATATTTATGAATTTTTACCATGAGTTAAGCTTTACATCCTTCCCCCCTCCAATTAAATGTCAGAGTATATTCATTAGTTTCATACATACAAAACCGTTTTATGGAAAGCAGTTGTGTGTTTATTACTCAGCCTTAATCATGCCTGATTAAGTTTTGACATCAATGATCTTTTGGAACCCAGGATTTGGTTCCTGACCTTGTAATTATGTTAGAAATGTTGGCAATGGCTTGCTTTTGTTGCAGGACAAAAGTTTGTCTTCTGGGGTTTTCTGACCACTCACCTTCAGTCTGGAGTAATTTACTAGACTTCTTTCCTATATGAGTTTATATCAATGGCCACATGCCTTTAGAGGCAGCATGAATGGGCACACTGATTTCTCTTGGTATAAATAAGCACACAGTTCAACTCCATGACTCTAAGCCATTTGTTTTCTTAAAAACTTCCCTAAATTATTCCATGCATTTGACTTGCAGATGCACCACTTATGTAAACACATAGCTTTGAAACAAGGATCTAAAAGGAATGCAACCAGCTCTGCTCCAGTTGTATGTACATGATGAGCTATTTGCACAGCATTACCCGAAAAAGCTTTGAGTGGTTTTCAATTCATAACTCTGGCAGAGAAGCCCCTGTATTGCTAACTATTTGTACAAATGAGACCCTACAATGTGAAAAATGAACCTCTCTCATTCTCAAACCACAACACCTTTTTGGCTTAATTTGGATTATTGTGGATCCATTTTTATGGATTTTGTTTGAAATCCTGTTTGATGTCATTGCTATTGCAAGTCCAGCAAATTTCATTTCTATATAACATTAGGCTAGAGAGGAACATACCAACAGACAAACACACAATGGAGACATGCAGTGGAGTTGTGCTTAATGCATGGGTATCATGTGCACAGAGTACAGACCAAGCACATTACTTCATTTAATGCGGGCACATGTTTGTACCAAGAGTTTGAAACATTGTAAACAAGCCTTAAGCAAAGGAGGAAATGTAGAGGGAAACGAAGCTGAGAAAAATGAGCGGGAAATGGGCAAGATGACTCGTCTATACTTGAACATCTGACCTTTCAGCTGGTCGTCGCCTGCGGCAGGGGCGATGCGAATGTAAGGTGTTGTAAGCTGAGTCACGATTATCGCAGCTATGGCAAAGGAAGATCCCCAGGTCAGCATGCATGAGGGAAGAAAAAGCCAGACTGAAGCTAGGCTAGCAAGGAGAATCGCGATCAGTATATCACATTGTCTCTACTTTGTCCCAAAACAACAAAAAGAGAAGGAAAGAAAAGAAAAAACAAAAAACAACTCATAGCAAGGTGTTGAATCTTCTGAATTAAACAAGCTTTAGCCAGGCAGTTAAGAGTTCTCAGTACAACACAGTTGAAAACTTTGGCTGAGATTTTGGATAGATCAACTGAATAAATAAGTGCAAACAAACACATTGGTCCCAAGTAAGGCTCTATACTGGACAATTATTTCCAAATGCTATTGAGTATAACGTATAAAGATTCATTGCTAATTCTGACGATCTAAATGTTAGGCTTTTTGAATTTATTAGATTATTTAAAATTCTGCTGCTTAAGTCACAATATTTTCTCTTCTTGCTAAAATCACCTTTGAGAAAAACATTATCCTCTTTCACTAAAAAAGGAAAATATGTAGAGAAACTTCTCTGATAACTAAATTTCATGTAGAGTATTTCTATTTAGAAATCTCATTCTGTCACATTAAGGGAATAAAAAATGTATCTCACAGCATTGGTGAGAAAAATAAAAACTAACCATTGCCTTTGCTATAGTTGTCATTGTTAACTTGAGACCAAGGAAATCATTTAGATTCTTGAAGTGGACCAGGCAGACTCCTGGTTTGCTTGGAGAGCTCAGTAGTTGTGTTTAAATGGTTAACAGTTATGACACACAGATATTAAAAAAGTAAGAAATTAAAACATCAGTTCTAACATGATACAGCTGGAAAATGATGCAAAGAAAAAATACTGAAAAATTAAGGACGGGCTTACATGAAAGATTACTAATTTACATGGAACAGCCTGGGTGCTATTAGAAATGTGGCAGCAAGTAAGGAAAATAGATCATCTACCATCTGCAGACAATTAAACCCAAAACTGCTGCTGCATAATATTTTGAAATATCCCTCTGCATCGTTCAAATAGAGCTGCTCCTTATAACTAGACAACTGCCACAACTGGGTTTAAAAGTAGTGTAATCGGCTCTCAGACATTATTAATGAAAACTTTCTAATCTTGCTAAGTGAGATGAATAAACCAACAGTTTGGTCAAAGAATAGAGAACTCCCAGGGTAATACAAAGATAATTTTCTTGATATGACATAGTATGAGATTTTGCAAACTGATATAATAAGTTGTGAACAGTAAAATGCTATTTCTCAGGCTCATAACAAAGTTGGTACCGATTTCAAGTTTATACATATAATATTTGTTTGGTCAGAGACTACTGTTGTTCAACCAACATTCCTGTGTGGTATTTCATTACCTACAGGAAAATCGCACCTACCCGATTTTTGAGAAAAATTATATTGCCTTATACAAAAACAAAGCAACTCTACCATACTGATAAAAGTAAGCAATATGAACAAAACGTTATTTGAAAATGGCTAAGCTGGGCAGCCATGTCTTCACCACTGAAAGGAAAGCTAACTGCAATCTGAGGTTCAATACGCCCATGGGAAAAAGTACCTTACAGATAAGATATCACAAAAAGTTTTATATGATCTTTCTAACCCACATTGTAAAGGGTTCAATTGTTATTATTTTTAGTTAAAAGGGAAAACTGGATTATGCTAGCAATTATTTAAAAATAGTGGTCAGCTAGCCACTGCCTGCTTTTGCAAATAAAGTTTTATTGAACACAGGCATGCTTATTTGTTTACGCACTGCAGACAGCTGCTCTTGCACAGCGATGGCATAGCTGAGCCATTGTGAAAGAGACCATCTAGCTCACTGAGCCTCAAATATTTACCATGTGCCTTTTACATAAAAATCTCTTGTTCTCTGTCTTAGAACCATGGTCAGCAAACTGAGGCTCGCAAGCCACATACAGCTCTTTGGCCCTTGAGTGTGGCTCTTCCACAAAATACCATGGCCTGGTGAGTCCATTTTGAAGAATTGGCATTAGAAGAAGTTTAAGTTTTAAAAATTTGGCTCTCAAAGAAATTTCAATGGTTGTACTGTTGATATTTGGCTCTGTTGACTGATGAGTTTGCCGACCACTGTCTTAGAATATCAATAAGAATGTATCAGGAAGACAATCACTAACTTTAGTAAAATAAAGTCAGGAGATTTCCAATTCGTAGGCATTGAAGATACTTCTGGTGCTTTTAGGGTCTCCCTTAAATACAAAGGTAAGTATGGAAGAGTGAAAAATACAATTTGAGAATCTGACTTCCAAAGTAACACTTCAGTTGAATTTTGTGGGATCTTCTGGTATTGTTATGTGCTCAACTGTGTTTTAGCTGACTCTAATGTTCCTTTAAAAATGAATCTGGGTCAAATAAATGTGGGCAAAATATAGGACACAATAAAGTTAAACAGGTGTTTTTCCTTAGGAACTTTCCAGGGGCTCTAATGCACTGATGACGTACATTATGAAGACTATTTCAAATCGAGCAAAGAAAATACTGTCTCTAGAAGATGCTGAATGACAAATCTATGTCATATTTATGTGTCTATTTCTAAATCCATAGCTCAGTGATAGCAGATTAGCATATGTAAGTGATCTTACTATGTAATTTGTTTTCTCCTGCATTGAATATGAGTAATTAAGAGGAATCTTAATTAGCTTTACATCTCTACAGACATTCTTTTCGGTTCTCTTGTCAGAGTACTTTCATTCGGTAGCATTGTGTCCTAGAAAGGACGGTATTTCTTTGAGCGAAACTATGAATAGAAAAACAGTCTACAGAAACTTCTCAAAGAGCCTGGTGATTTAAATAAGAAACATTCAAATTTCTGAATATAGTCAGAAATTATATCAGGACAATGGAAATCCTTCAAAGTTTCCTGAAGGTCTTCCAGCACATTCCAGTACAAATGTAAATTGAATAAAATATTAAACTTAAAAACAGCGAAGGAATTTTGCACAGAAAATTCACTTTTAGACACATTGGAATCATGATTTGTGTTTTTTTGTTTTGTTTAAGGTTTATGGTCTGACTATTATAATACTTTTGGAAAGAATTCAGCATATGTTCTCATGCAGTTTTTGTTTTGATTTCTAGCTACAATGCTGTTTGCCAAATCTTAGCAATGGAAGAATTATCATATATAACCTCACTCCCCATACACTAAAAACACAAACAAACAAAAATCCTCAACACCTTTATGAACTATAAATCCTCAAAATTTAAAAAGTGACATATTTATGTATCTGTACTTGGAAGTCTCAGATTATACTTAACATATTAAACACCCAGGTACTTTTTTTTTTATATCCAGATAATTTAAAAAATAAATTTATAATAAGAAAACACCCAAATACTATATTCTCAAAGAGAAACACAGCTGGCACCATGCTATGGGACATATTATTATATTGAAATTAATGAAAAGTATACATTTTAACTGATTGTTATATTAATTAGAGTGAATATAACCCACTTAATATAAATAATCTAATTTTCTAACAAGATGGATTTTGATTTCTAAATATATTTTGTCAATTTAGAATTTTCACTGATAAATTCTAACGAAACTAGCATAGAAACCATTTCAAGCCTACCCATTATCACAAGGCAGCCATGTTATGTAAGAGCAAAAGGAAACACATATACTCATTGCTAAGACATATAGTTGGACCAACTATAAAAATGTGAATGTGTTTTAAAATAAAAAGAAAAATTAGGAGAATTAGGAAAATAAAAATTAGGAGAAAAGCTACTGTTTACTGTTTAGATTAGGGGTGTCGAACTCAATCAGAGAAGGGGCCAAAATCTAAAATCCAGCCTAAATCACGGGCCGAATGGTTTACTGAACAGTCATAAACTGTGATTGTGATGGAAACGCAGCGGAGTGCAGTGATGACAGAGCGGTGCGGGCCACATTGCAAGGCCTGGCGGGACGGATTTGGCCCGCGGGCCTTGTGTTTGACACATGTGGTTTAGATAAAAAAGAATCCTATAATTGGGTGGACAACATCCAAACATCATGTATATTCTGTGGTTTGGTGTCTTTATCTTTTAATTCAAGAGACAGAATGCTGTCATGAGTTTGCTTACAGTAGACAAAAATAAAAATACAGTAACATACATCTATGAGGACTCTAGATGTATAAATTAAAGGACACATAAAAATATAGGCAATTTCCCATAATGAAGATATGCAATAACATACCTTGGGTTTTTTCCTGTGCCTATTTTTCAAGAGGCTTTATATTTGAGATGATTAGTGTCAAAATATACCCTTGGTATATGATTAAAATAAGCAAAACATTAAATTTATAAATAGTATGAAATATATCTTTAAGAGATATACCCATACTTGGAATTATAAATTATAGTTCCGTGTGAAGAAATGTCCACCTCCATACTTTTTAAAAAAACTTTTAGTAGATTTTTATTGATTTCGGAGAGGAAGAAGGAGAGAGAGATAGAAACATCAACGATGAGAGAGAATCACTGATCAGCTGCCTCCAGCATGCATCCCACTGGGGATCCAGCCTGCAACTAGGCATGTGCCCTTGACTGGAATCAAACCTGGGACCCTTCAGTCTGCAGACCGATGCTCCATCCATCGAGCCAAACCATCTAGGACAACCTTCATATTTTTAATATAAAGATACTTGTCAATAGTTGTTTCTTGAGAACATTGAAGTCTTTATAAATTCAAAACATTGCTTGGGAAAATGGCTTAGTATCTGAAAATTTAATTAAGCCACCATACTGTAAGCAATATGTGGCCAAAAAAGAAGTATTTGAATTGTTTTAAATTTCAAACATCTTTATTATGTGGCGCCAATAAAGTTAATAGACCTGACTATTTCTCTGCTATGACGGAAAGATGGAAATGCTTCCCACACTGCAAAAATAATTTTTAGTGTGAATAAGGAAAAATGATGTGATTATGAAGGTGGTAAAACATTAAACTGTGCTGGAAAGGGAGGTTGCTGCACCTGTACATGTAGAAATTAATAAAATGAAATAGTACCAAATAGTGTAGTTTTGCCTGTAAGGCAATCCCCAGATTTCCTCCTGTATTAGGATTTTATGACTAGAAATGACAATGTTATGTAATGAATATTAAAATTTCTTTCCCTCCTACACCTAAACAGATTATCTGGATAGAGTTTGTTGCTCTGAAAATTTTTGCAAATGGTTCAGAAAATATGAGAAGGGACTATTTAGTCAATTAGGTCATCTGATTGCCTAATCATCCTTTGGTGAATTGAAAAACAAATTACAATATTGATTAAATCTAGCTGATGGAAGAAAATGCTCCAAAATCACTATCTAATTCAATCTATTGTGAAAACAGCAATCCTCGGGTTTCTATATTTACTAGTGTGTTCTTTATATAATTATTTAAATATGTAGATGGACATGCCAGATATTTCATTGTTTTCAGAGTAAACTAACTGGTCAGTGACAATTATAAGAGGAGGACAGATACTTATACAATGCAAGACTATAATTTGCGAGAGGATCTGCTGGCTGAAAGCCATGAGCTACAGTGGAATATCAGGGGTAGGAGTCCAAACACTTGGGATCAAGCCCATAACCATTGGTTATTAGCTGAGTGATCTTGGTAAGTCAACTTGTCTCCCAAAATACACATTTTTTTCACCTTAAAAATAAAAATAGCAATATCTGTGTCCTTTTCACAGTAATGTTAAAGAAATAAAGGAGGGCAATTAAAGTGATTTTCAGTTCTGATGTTAAACATAAGGCATTATAAATTAGGCACTGTGGAAATGGATTTACTTTTTGAGACCTCAATGATATAGAATTCAATAAAGCAATTTGAGCATGGGCAATGACCTGGAGGTCTAAGAACATCAATACCCCATTCATGGGCCCTATCATACTGTAATAGGTAATAGTTAATAGCATATTACAGTTTACAAAACTCATCAATATCTTTAATTTCATTAATTGCTAATATATTCCTGTAAACAAAGGCACTAATCACATATAACAAATAAAGAATTTAGTATTTAAAAATCAATATAGATTCTTGGAAATAAAACTATGAACCCATGAGGACAAAGAAAATATAAATGGGGTGAGTACCTCACACAATGCCTGGAACATAATATGAAACCCTGAAATATTTGTCATGCAAGCTGAATAAAAAGTCATGTATCTTCATAAATAAGAATTCAATGAGAATTTTGAAAATGCAGATGGACATCCATAATATACTCAACTATGTTGCCTGACAGTTAAACAATGGAAACAAGATATTTTTATCCAACAGAACTCATCAAGTGACTACTACCCATGATCTGAGGAAATCTACAGACCCAGTGACGCCTTCTTGCTGTCATACCTAAATTAAACCACACAGAACGTGCTCATTGTCACATGGTTACTCTAATGTCTGAAGGAGTGTATTTAACTACAAGTGTTAATTTATAATGCCTCATTTTAATGCAGCATTTTACATTTCTCCAAATTTTGTTGTCATACATTGCCACATGTGATGGTTAAAATCCCACTGCAAGATGGACACAAGGACATGACAGCTCTGGCACACACATAATGGGGCTTTCTTATTTAGGAGGTGCCATGTGGTGAACTTGGGTGGTGGCCCTAGCCATTTCTATAGCTCATCCTCGATCACATTGTCCAAGATTTGAACCAGGCATGGGAAACAAAAGTTCTACAATAATATCACCTGGTTACTATAGTGTCAAGGAGACACACCAGGCATGGGAAACAAAAGTTCTACAATAATATCACCTGGTTACTATAGTGTCAAGGAGACACATATCATCAGGGGAAAAACAAAAACAAAAAACATGCAGACTCTATAGAATCACTATAACTAGATAATTCTTTAAAAATAGCAGGCAGTATTTTACTAATTTGTGTATGAAGAGTCACTAGTTACAGTAGTACTACATGTGGTACTATGGTTTAAGAAGTATACTGATATCAGATAAAATTTTAAGTTTTTAAAAAAATGACCATTGAAAACTGCTTGGACCATTTATTTTAAGAAGCCTTTCAATGTTAATGTTAATGTTAACTGCCAGTCAATATTAACTGCCATTGGTTCCTATACATACCTACATGCACATACACATGCACACATTTTAATGAATTTAATAATCAAAGAAGTTTGGAAATACCCTCTATAATCTTAAAGGAAATACATTCAGAGAGCATTCCATAATTTCAACTTACCTTTTGTGGCCACTCGAACACAGTCTATTTTGGTTTCCTGTGCCAAAGAAAGAAGGGGAAAATCACTATTCATGTTTTATTTAAAACAAATGAAAGTACCTGCAGTTCTATGTAAATACTGTTAATGAAAGGTCTCATTGGTCCTAGAGTAGCATTAATCACATGATGGCCACTCCTTGAACCAAGATCAGATACACCTGGCTTCAGCCCAGATGGTGGTGGGCATTTCTGGAGCAGATAAGGAGCCCGGAGCAACTCCAAAATGTATCTGCCTGGTGGCCCCTGGCCTCCTTCTGCAGACTCTCACTTGCTCCCTGTGCTAGCACTCCCTGAAGATCTCTGTCCCAGATGCCCTCTGTCTTCACAGGCAAGGTCAAGTCAGGGAGAACACCCAGACCCTTGCTGTGCAGGAGGCAAACCACTGTCACATCTGGGAAGCATGCCTTCTAGGAGACTTTACTGTCTTATCAGAGTTCTGCATTCGTCTGAACACAAAAGGGAAACTTTTCACAACAACTCGACAGATTTTATTTTGTTAACATCTCATCTTTTTAAAGCTGTTTTCTCTTTGGGAAAAAAAGATACCTAATTTAGTCACAGTTATAGGAAACATAAACTCTTGGGGATTCGAAGAAACAGGACAGAATATGCTGAAAAGACAGATGTTGTGAATCTCACAAAAGTTTATATGAGTTGAATGTATGTGTTGTAGCTATACTATTTTCCTATAAAATAGTATGCTAAGCAGAATTACTAGCCAACTTTTCATAAGTAAAATCTGAAAATAAAAATCATCATGTTGACAATATATTCTTTTTTTTTTTTTACCAAAACAAATATGAATATATTCATTTCTTTCCATACATTTCAGTAGATAAAAATAACTTTAAAAAGTGTGTGTGTGTGTGTGGGGGGAAACCCCACATTTGTTTCAATAAAAGCACACAAAAGCATAACTATTTCTTACTACTTTCTTATTTAATCTATGTTCACATTCACAATGCAAAATAACATAAGTAAACAGCCATCTATATAACTTACCCCATTGGCTCTGCTAGCAGCTTGGAAGTAAATTCTGTAGCTTTTATGGGGGAGAAGAGGCGTGTTCCAGTATCCATTGTATGTCTTGTTATCACCAATTGTAAAAGGCTGAGCTGCCTGCAGGCTGTTTGCTGGGAATTCTGCAGCAAAGTAGTACTGTGAGTTCAGGATAGAGGCGTTCTGGAAGTGAATTGGCACTGGGTAGCACTTTAAGATCTCTGTTGTCTTTTTAGTTCTTCGAGAACGTTCTTCCTCAACAACTATTTGGTAGACACTAAAAAAAGAAGAGAATTATCTGTGATAATTTATAATAACTGAGCTTATGCCCTTTGCCTCTGATTGTGTAGACCCACAGGATATCCAAAATAAAAAATATACAGGATAGAGTCAATAACAAGTGCTTAGTAAATAACGGACACTCACACAGAACTCCCTCTTCCCAAATAATACAATCTATTGAAGGAAACAAAATTCACACAATTACTGAAGTTTTATATAACGATCTCTGCTGTTTATGGGAGCTGGACACTAAAATACTACTTTTCTTATTAATACATGTGATCGAAGATAAATGTGTAGACCAAGCATTTCAAATTCAAAGGCTAACAAGGGCCAAAAAAACCAGGCATGAGGCCCGTAAACCATGAGTTGGACATGCCTGGTATAGACAATTAATTTAGTTTACCTAATAAACAGATTTATATTAACAATAAGTCTATTTTTAAAGGAAATGTATTATTTTCATCAATGACACTTGTATAAATTCATGTGAAGTTTTAACAAGTCACAAAATATAATGTGTAATGACTCATATTAACCAAGATTTGACTTCGATATTTCCTTATATTCCTTTGCCCTTTCCCATATCCAGGCAGAGGAAAGAGAAGGCACAAGAAAAGCAGATAAAAAGAATTGGAATTTCAAATGCTGAGGCCTTGGAGTTATAAGCAGTTTCTGAGGGTAAGTGATGAACAGGGCTACTTGAATTATATATAAAGATGGGAATGATCATCCTTCGAAGATGCCTGCAAGGATAGACACCTCACGGAGGAATGGATTTCACACCTTCCCTTCCCTGCACCTTCAATGTCTTTGAATTCTGAAATAACCCGAAGAGAATGGAAAAAAGGTGGAAAGGACAAACTTAATAAGATATATACATTTACTAGAATGATGAATAACTGTGTGTTTTGTTGAAAAAAAGTTTCTAATACTGAGAAAAACTAAACCTTGATAACAACTTTTAAAAACTGAATCCAATAAGCCAGTCAGAGAAAGACAAATACCACATGGCCTCACTTATATGTGGAATCCAATGTATGAAATAAACTGATAAACAAAATAGATCCAGAGATGTGGCAGGGTGCAACAGACTGATGAATCTCAGAGGGAAGAGAGGAGGGGGCAAGAGATCAACCAAGGAACTTGTATGCAAATATGCAGAACCCATGGACACAGATAATAGTGTGGTGAAGGTTTGGCTGGAGAGGGGGCTGGAGCAGAGTGAAGGAGGTTAATGGGGGAAAAATGGAACATCTATTAATACTTCAACAGTAAAAATAAATTAAAACAAAACAAAACAAATTAAAGAAAAACTGAATCCAAATTCAATTCAAGTCCTTCTGGCAAAAAGATGTATCTTTTTACCATACCAGAAAAGCACGGCTTCTCCATTGAACAATGCTACAAATGCTGGAGTTGCTCAGTATTGAGAACTCAGTAATGCCTACCATGCCCGCAGGCCAGGAAAGGCCTGGAGAGGTCCCTTTTTGGGCTCTTGTCCCCTGTGAACTCTGAGTTTGGACTCCGTGAAATTACCTGTTTCTGGAGTACAACCACTTAGCGCATTAGTGTAATGCAATGCAGCTGCCCTTCAGTTTGTAATTCTGTCTAAACAAAAATCAATTGTTGTAGATGTAGAACATCAAAATGATTGCTCAGAAAACAAATAGTCGAGCATGCTTCCAGTGTAATGATACGGTGAATTCTGAGCAGTGATGTAAACTTAAAAAAATAAATACAACTCTCACTTCCTAACATCAGATACTTTTGGCTATATAACATGCTTACCAAATGTAATAGAATTTTAACTGTATAATATATCCAACACAAAAGGAACACAAAAGAAGTAAAGTGGACTTTGATTTCTTACAATTTCTCCCTGGCTTCTTACAGCTACAGTCAGATGTGCTACTTTAAAATATATCTGCAGCTCAGCCAGTGGCTCAATTAGTTGGTATGTCGTCCGATGCAAAAAAAGGTTGTGGGTTTGATTCCTGATCAGGGCACAGACCTAGTTTGCAGGTTTGATCACCAATCAGGGAGAAAATTGGAGGCAACTGATCGATATTTCTCCCTCCTTCCTTTCTTCTCTCCCTCCCTCCCTTCTTTTCTCTCTAAAAACAATAAAACATATCCTCAGGTGAGGATTTTAAAAAATCTACCTACCTATCTATCTATCTATCTATCTGCACATTTTTTTGAGATTTCTCCCATCAAGAATTGGGTTGGGCAATCTTAATGACTATATTCAGCCAACAGAGTATAACAGTATAACAGAGGGACAATGTGTAAATCTCAAGCTTTGGTCAGAGAAAACCAGGAATCTTCAGCCTGGTTCCCCAGGGAAGCTAGCTGGGAAACATAGCCAGGCACCATGTAGGTGGTCCAATGACCGTGGACCTCCCACCCCAGGGAGGCCACATGCAGGCACTCTGCGTGGCAGTCCGTGGCACATACACCAATCTAGGCTCTAACCCTAATTCTGCCAACAACTGAGGTTTTAAATTAACTTCTTTGGATCTTATTTTTTTCCTATGAAATGAGATAATTAGAGGGATTTTTATGGTGTATTTTATATTCATAATTTTTATGCAGCATACAAGAACTATTACCACAAAAATTATACATCAAAGGAATAAACTGCTTTGCAAAGAGATTATCCATTAAATAAGATAACTGAAAGCATTAGCTCCTTCTACCAGTCAGTTTTCCCAGTTTATTTGCTATACTTCATGAATTTCAAAATTTCACTTTAACAACTTCTGGGAAATGGAAATATGAATATACCTGGGGAATAATTCTATACAAGAAATACTAGCCACTTTTTTTTAAGTTTATAAAATTATTTATTGATTTTAGAGAAAGAGAAGAAATGCGGAAAGAGGAAGAGAGAGAGTGAGAGAGAAAGAGAGAAAAACATAAATTTGTTTCACTTATTGATGCACTGATCTGTTAATTCTCATATATGCCCTGACTGGAGATGGAGCCAACAACCTTGGCATCATGGGAGATGCTCTAACCAACAGAGCTCCCCAGCCAGGGTTCCCACACACAGGTTTTATTTTCCCATTTTATGATGAGAAAACTGAAATTCAAAGGGGGCTCATTCATTGGGGGCACGAAGCTAATTAAGTAGATGTCATTTCTTGACCATACTAGCATGGCCTGCTAAAAACTCCTGGTTAAGACAGGAATTTTCTACTTCCCCATAAACACTTTGAGTATTGTATAGAGAGCTTCTTTCTCATTTATCAAATCAAGGAAGCCATAGATGGTAATTATACCTTTGACCTCAATTTCTTCTCCCATCTGTACTAATCGTGACATTAACAATTTCCACCATCCAGACTCCTGGATCTGCAGTGACAGGCTGGTGTCTTCTCCAACTCCCGCTTTCTCCCAGAAACCTCGTCAATGGCACATGGGACAGTGATCACTCACTTCTCCACCTGCAGGGATCTGCCCCCTGGTGCTAGATAAAAGATTAGCAGAGCCACTTCTGGGCCTTTCAAAGATCCAGAGTCTGGAATTCTCCTACCACAAACAACTTTCCTCTATTCCTTCACCCTGGCCTGGTCCTGAGTTTGTTATTTAAATGCTGTTTTCCCCAACACACTAAAATCTTTTGTTGCTCTCAGCAGATGACCTTATCTCATAAAAAGTCTGAGGTCCACTCATGACCTCTCTCAGGGATTTACAATCTCTTACCCCATTTCTATGCACTTGTGCTCTGGGCCAAACTCCCAGAATCATGCTTCCTGTAAAGTCTTAAAGCTATTTGTGTAATTTTTATCAATATTTCCAAAAGTCTTATAAGTTTCTAGAGAAAGAGGTCTATGATTTGGTCATGCCTGAATCTCATGACAATGAAGTGGTCATGAAATACATATTTTTTTTTCAATTCTTTTTTATTTTATTTTATTGATTTTTTACAGAGAGGAAGAGAGCGGGATAGAGAGTTAGAAACAGCGATGAGAGAAAATCATTGATCAGCTGCCTCTTGCACACCCCCTACTGGAGATGTGCCCGCAATCAAGGTATCAATACATGCCCTTGTCTGGAATCGAACCTGGGACCTTTCAGTCCCCAGGCTGATGCTTTATCCACTGAACCAAACTGGTTTGGGCTGAAATACATATTTTTGAAAGCATAATATAATCCCAAAGAAATTTCTATTCTCTCTATATTATAGGTAATAGTAAGGAGGAAATACATTGGTATTCAAAAATATGCTTTGCTTAACTACAACCTAACACTGTTTATTTTTTATTAATTTCCTGAATACCAAAGAGCTAATAGATGATGAAATTTCCATGAGAAAAGTTTTGTGATATGAGGATGTGGTATGATTATAAGTTTATCTTGGATAGCCCACAATGAACTAACGAACATTGAGAGCATCAAAAGCTGCATTTCTGCTTTCTCTATCTTCTTTGCTCACCTCCATCTCTCACTTCCCATCATCTTTTCCCTAACTTTGCTAGTATGTGTGCTGTGTATCTGTTTACTAATGTATTAACTATTTTTGAGCACCTATTATGTACCTGGCTCTGACCTACTTTAACTAGAACACTGTAACATTTGACATTCTCTAATAAAAGAAAATTTTGAATTTTAACTTAAATGCCATCATATTATGGATGAATAAAATTAACTTTTCTAAGCAATGATTTTATGAAGGTTAGATGAAATTTTAAGAATTAAATGATCATGTAATGGGCCTCCATTTTAGCCAGCTGGTATGTTACACTATGTACTGTATTCCAGATATATTACTTTTTAAATGGCTACCATCTACTCATCTTCAGATATATTAGAGGAAGAACTAAGTTGACTAGAGCAATTTCAAACTCAAAATGTCTTTTCATCCTTGCTCGCAAGACAAATTCGATTTGCAAGCATCCCGAACTCAAATCTATTTGCTCTTTAATAATTTAAGCCCTGAAAGGTCAAGAAGCTCTTTTCTATTTTCCCTTTATCAAAGTTCAAGCG